GCTTTTCACAAGCAGGTCCACGTAGCCACCTCCTGTCAAGCTTCAAGGGGGTTGTCATGGTGACAGTGGCTAGTCGAGGCTGGGAGACTGTTGCATGGGATCCCTGTGGCCTCCGATGTGGCTCAGAGAATGATGGGAAATGAAGTCAGCTGTCTGGGGATCTTAGTGTTCAAGCCGTACCTGGATTTACTCAACCGAGGACAGATACTTTACCAAAACCTCTTTAGAATGGTTTGAAAGGGTCGGTGGGAGTTAAAGAGTTGTACCCGACATTATTGTGTGTTTCTCTGGGTGACCGCTGGTGTCATACTGGTTTACTGGAACAAGAGCTTCCTCTGCTGAAGCACAATGTGTCTCTAAATCCAGTGAGGGAACGCAAATCTGAATACTGGTGGATCTGTGAGTTCAAATGTCTTTGGAGGTGCCACTGTGCTGAACTTAGTTTGGAAATTTTCTTGACTGGGTTTTAGAGAAGAGGTTTTGAGAAAACACTTTCCTGAAGCAGACAGTAGTCAGAATGATCTTAGTTTGGAGAACCAGGGAAAAATTCACACATGAGAGGCAAGCCATCTAAAACAACACAGACCTTTGAAGCCAACATAGCACTGAAATACACAAAACTGCAAGAATGTCTCCCAAAGCAAGTCATGGGTATCACACAAGTAGACACTAAAGTTTCTTTTTATGTGGCGTTCTAGTATTAATGCTCTGATAAATAATAATTTTGTAAACTCTGAACAACGCTCTTTAAACTTGGTCATGAATTCACGATGACCTGATTTATGCACACTTAATTACTCACTTTACTAAAGTCTGCATGTGTATTTATGACTAGTGTGTTTCAAAAACTGCTGTACATCTAAAGAGGAAAACCATCACAGCTGTAGGGAAACTGACAAGGTAAAGCCATTGCATCTAAGACAGTGATCCTCGTTTTTTTTTTTTTTTTCAAAAGAGCCATATTGACAGATCAAAGTCAAACGGAGAGCCGCGATATCACCCCAAGTCACTTAAATTAAATAAAATAATAAACAACCCACCTATGAGCAATAAAGAAACACAGTCAGCACATTATCTGTTTAAACAAAATGTACCTTATACTGACATGAGTGGAAGCTGTGGTGCATGTCCTTGACTTTCTTCATCTTGTATTTGTACTTTGTTGTTGCAACTACAGTGAGGCATTCAAGATGGGCATGGGTCAGTCAGTTTCTCTGTTTTTGCTCGATAGTGTTCATGGTTGAAAATGTTGACTGTGTAAAAATTTCATCTTTTAGCTATTACACCAATCCCATGAAGAAAACACAAGTCAACAATAACAATGAATACCAAAGTCCATGCTCAACAATGAATATGCTGTAATATGTGTACGGATAAAGACGCCCCCTTCACATTTCCGCCTGCCCCCTCATGTAACCATGCCTAGAACTGGCTCTGTAAGATGCTCCTACTACCTTCTCCGCAGATGACAGCAAGTGCGGAGACGTGGGCCGGTAGCTGATCCATCTGGTAATAACATGACTTTTTTTACGTCTTTTGACCAGCGGGTCAGCGGATGCGCACATCCGGTGATGATCAGCTGATTGATCTGAGATTAACAGGGCATTTTTTACATCTTTTGACCAGCGGGTCAGTAGATGCGCGCGGCCGATGATCAGCTGATCCATCTGAAGCTTAACAGGACTTTTTTTTTTTTTTAACCTCTACCAGCCAGTCGGACCTGCCTCCTCTTCAACAAGTTGATTAACACAATATTATTCATAACACCGCATCAAAGAAGCCTGAGCCAACATGCACAATTATTGCGCAATGCGCCAGCATGTTTTTAAACTGTACTGGCTGTGCTGGCGTATTGTTGAAACCTGTCACGCGAGCCACCAATAAAGCATGGCGAGCTGCATGTGGCTTAGGAGCCGAGCAATGAGTATCCCTGTGTTGAGTTGATATTAAGTCTCAAACACAGCAAGCTATAAGAATGAATTGCATAAATGTGCAATTGTCTGACTCCTAAATGTGCTTTCTTTTGGAGAGCAGAAGAGTGCAGTCAGAGACATATCTAAAAAATATACATTTTGTCTTTTGCAAAAACAAATCTAGGTTGAGTTTTGACGGAAAGCATCCTTCCTTTACATTAGTTTCCTCAAACAGCCTAACGAGGTCAGGTGTCATCTTCTCCTAACGACGATGGAGCTCTCTGGGGACTGTTGTCTCTGCTGAGCCACACACCATATGTGTCATGAGGACACAAACCAGTGTGATCTAGCTCGGTTTAGTGTCACAGTAGGATTTCCTGTCAATCTGTCCTGTATCTATCTCTCGCACACATGTTGTCTTCCCCTCTCTTCCAAGCATAAATGCCTCCCTCTATTATTTTTGGATCTCATAAGCTGTAATTATAAAATTCAAATGTTAAGATTTAAAGGGGAAACTTCTCACTTGTTGCTGCTATGAAAATCTGTTCTGTGTCCAGGTGTTGTGTTGAAACCATTAGGCTCGTGCCCAGAGCTACATTCATGCTTCATAAGTTTATTTGTGGTTCTGCTCATGTTTGGAGGGCCGGAGATTTATGAAATTAGTTCACAGCAGCACAAAAACAACACAGGAACAATCCTCAATGAGCTGGGGCGATCGAGTGCACAAGGAGCACAGAGGCAGGAACACCTCAGATGTGTAGGGTTTCCTTAGTGGAACTTAACCTCATAACCAAAACATTACACAGCAGCACTGATGCACCTTCATTAGTAACCTTTTTATAGCCTTGCAATCCTATTACCTCTGTCCCTTCTTTTGTCCTGCCCTTCCGTGAATGCAATCTCCAGTGGCTTCAAGTTTGGGATTTGTTAGCAGCGCGGCTCTATCTCTCCTCGGGCTTATTACAAGCCTGATGTGCCTCGTACCCAGAGGGTGACCTTTAATACCTGGTGCTTACAAAGGTACAGCAAGATAACACAAGCAATAAACCCTGTTATTTACTTTATAGAAATCATTTTCTGTTTAATACTGTCATCGTGTCCACTGCACCCCCGCCCCTTTTCTACCCTTTCAGTTTTTCGCCACCGTTGTCGGCTACAACCCCTCACCCTTCAGTCACAGCCCCTCTCAAGTGTTTGTTTCAAATAGATTTCCTGCAGGGCAGTAGGGAGCCACACAGAAGGATGGAAATAAACAGATAGAGCTATTCATGTCTGCCATGAAGCTATGGCAACAGTGTCCTCCTGCTCTGATTGGTCATTGGTAATGTTGCCTTTTTAGCCATCACTTACACTCCAGAGAGTCTGAATTATTGGCACTTTGTCAATGTCCTTGCTGTCACTCAGTGGCTGCTACCATCCCTTTTTGAGTTAGTTTCTCTGACCCTCACCTGCTGGTTTATAAAACCTCATATTCAGTGCTAACCTTTAGATTACTTTTTTAATCTAGAGATGGTGTGCTGAATCACCCGGTTTACACGAGACTACCATTGAAGATTTTGTTTAAAATATTATGGCAACAAATGTACCACAAGAACCTTTAATATTTCTCTTCGCCTCATGCCATTTGTTGCTTTCACTTTTGCAGAAAATATTTCAACCATTCCATGATTTATATCATCATATAACATCCTAACCTTTTGCGTGTGGGCTATTGCCAAAACAAGCTCAGTGTTCTAGCAACAACCTCCTACTCATCTCTCTAAGTTGTGCTGTTTGGAAATGTAGGGTTAATGTTTCTATTCTACGCAAGAGTTAATTATGTAATCCTGGTCTTGTTCCTTAAAAGCATTGAAAGCTCATATGTTGTCATTTACTTCAGCACATTGTCTTGTGTATCTTCTGAAAAGTGTTATTGTTAAGTATTGGTTAGAAGATGTAGATTTTAAATGGACATTTTTTTTCTTTGACACACAAAAGCTAATTTGAAAAATTTCCTGGATTAATTTATTTTTGTCAAAATTTGTATAAATGAAACACTTTTTTTTTGTTCAACCTTTATTTATACAGGTTAGTTCCCACTGAGCCTCGAGGACTCATTTACAAGAGAGACCTGTTTTTGAATGCATGCAATCAGCTGCTACCTTGCATGTCAAAGTTGAAAGAAAAATATCTCATACAATCTGTTAGCCTGCAGATTACGTCATAAGGATGACTCAGCATCAACTTTAGTCTCAAATTGTTTTACTACAAAAGTAATAAGTTGCATATTGTGCATCCAATGATTATGAGAGTTTTGTTAAAATGTACCCAATGGTTTATAAGATATTTTGCTAACAGACAAACAACAAACACACATATACAGGTTATTACATGATTTTCCACCTTTCATGGTGGCGTGTAATGGATTAATTATTTTATTTAGTGGCTGTTAAACCTCATAGTCCACTTAAGCACGTTCACTCATGTGTATAAGCCTGATGAGTGAGATATAAATAAATAAACAGTCCAAGTCAATGCAGTCCATTATATCTTATCCAGTCACTCAGCAAGGCATTTAGTGAAGGTCTATTTAAACTTTGAGATTATCGACATTCACTTAAGTCATCACTTTACAAATGTAATCCTGACCTTATAAAATATACTGGAAGTCATCATCATCATCACTTTTATTGTCCCCTTAGGGAAATTTTCCTTGCAGCAAGGTGGTGAGAAAATTAATGATGTATTCCATTCAATGTATGGTTAAAATCAGAAGTTGCATTAAAATGGCAATATTCAGAAAAAGCTACAAGTTCCATTTTGTTTAATTAAAAAATGTATTTCAATGTGCAGCAAATGTGTATAACTGGGGGAAATTAACATTTTACATAGTTTGGCCTTAATACTTTTCTCGACACACTTAGACAATATTCTCAAAGTACTTGAACGAACATGCTGGTATTCTTCCATAGACTTGACAAATTTCAGCACCTTCTTCTTATTCACTTGAATGAAGTACTCAACTCTCTAGAGTTATGACCATATTGTATCAGATTTCCTTTATGCTGCAGTCCTTACTCATGTTACCTCTTTGATTCTGTCTTTCAGATCCTGGCCATCATCTCTATCCTCTTCATTGTGCTGTCCACCATTGCCTTGTCTCTGAACACTCTCCCAGAGTTGCAGGGCACTGACGAGTTTGGCCAGTCCACAGACAACCCTCAGCTGGCGCACGTGGAAGCCGTGTGCATTGCCTGGTTCACCATGGAATACCTTCTCCGTTTCCTCTCCTCTCCCAATAAATGGAAGTTCTTCAAGGGCCCTCTTAACGTCATCGACTTGTTGGCCATTTTGCCCTACTATGTCACTATTTTCCTGACAGAATCCAACAAAAGTGTGCTACAATTTCAGAATGTCCGTCGCGTGGTTCAGATCTTTAGGATCATGCGGATTCTGCGGATTTTGAAGTTGGCTCGTCACTCCACGGGGCTTCAGTCTCTGGGCTTCACTCTTAGGAGGAGCTACAACGAGTTGGGCCTGCTTATTCTTTTTCTGGCCATGGGCATCATGATCTTCTCTAGTCTTGTATTTTTTGCTGAGAAGGACGAAGAGGATACAAAGTTTAAAAGCATTCCAGCTTCTTTTTGGTGGGCTACCATTACTATGACCACTGTAGGCTATGGAGATATATATCCCAAAACTCTGTTGGGAAAGATTGTCGGGGGATTATGCTGTATTGCTGGAGTGCTTGTAATTGCCCTACCTATCCCCATCATTGTAAATAACTTTTCTGAATTCTACAAAGAACAAAAGAGGCAAGAAAAGGCTCTCAAAAGAAGGGAGGCCCTTGAAAGGGCGAAACGAAATGGTAGCATTGTTTCTATGAACTTGAAGGAGGCTTTTGCTCGTAGTGCGGAGCTCATGGATGTGGTAGTAGAGAAGACCGAGAGACCTCAAGACAACCACCTTTCTCCAAGTCACTGGAAATGGACATCCAAGAGAGCTGCATCAGAGACAAGCTCAAACAGATCTTTCAACGTGCAGGAGTTAGGCTCTCCATGCAAGGCTCAAGCCACCAGTCCCCAAAGGCTAAATGTTGAGAAACTAGAGCAAATGTACAGTCAGATGGCAAAAACACGGTCACAACCAAACCTCAATGCTAAAGACAGAGGTTCCAGAGTAGGGAAACACCGGGATGAGATAGAACTTGGGACCATTCAAAATTATGGAACATCGGCACTAGGAGTGGGGGACATGAAGAGTTTATCTAGCATTGATAGCTATATCAGTTGTGCAACAGACTTCCAGGAGAATTCACGCTTCCTCCACAGTCCAGCACCAGACATTGGCCTTCAGGAAAGCAGTAGATTCACTTTTGGTCCAGCTACAGGTTTGTCCCAGCACAATAGTACAAAAGTTGGCCAGCAAATGTTAGGACAGTACGAGTCCATGCTAACATCTGTGTCAAAGTCCACATCCTCTGAGAATCCAAGAAAATTCTTCTTTTCCGGAAACTCCTCAAAAAGCCTTAAGGGAGGCTGCTGTAGCGACGGGGATTCTGGCCCTTCCCCACTTTCAGACAGCTCACTTGTGTCAGACCACTCTCTTTTAAGCCCTGAAGTTTCTGTGTACACCACTGCCAGCAGCAGAACACCCCCAAAGTCACCAGAAAGCACTGCCATGGCCCCAACTGTCTTCACTTTCCATGACTCGTCCATCAGTAAATACATTGATGCCGATACGGATGACGATGAACACCTCCGGGACAACCCCGAGGCCAGTCCGTCAGAGTGTCTGCTGGCTAGTGCCAGCCCAAAGCGCAGTATTAACATTCACTACCAGAGGGGGACTAATCATTTAGAAACAGCTCAGAAAATGCTGAGTCAGAATTGTCTCTTCCCCACTGAAGGGATTCGTGGAAAAACTCACGGGAATCATATAGGACCTGAGTTGACACGTAGACCAAAGGTTGAAAGGGGACGACAAAATCCTTTGGATAAAAGCCTTTGAGGTACTTGAAAAAACAGACACATTAAAGAAGTTGGGGACAAAGTGTTTGTGATAAAGACACCTGATGAGCTAAAACACTCTAAGCCAGAGACAAAAGAAAGAGGGAGAGATAAAGGCTCTCCAGTTTCAGAAATTACCTGAGCTTGCTATTAGGGCAACAAGCTCTGGGTTAATGTGTGTGACGAATACTCTGCGAGAGACACTTAAATTGGAGGATGTCACTGCCCCTCATTCAGCTCATTCCTGTTAGCGGTATTTCACACAGAAAGAAAAGAAGAGCACTCTCAATTAGCCAATGAGTTTGTTCACAGAAGCTGAGTCAACATAGAAATTGAGCAGCATCTATGTCTAATATAAAATAATAAAAAATAAAGATTTTAGCCAAAGGGGGCGGCTTCTCTATATTCTCCAAAAGAAAGTCCACATTCTTGTACTGACTCCCAGTTCATTTTTTACTCTTGGTGATAACTGAGAGAACCCAGAAGCCTATAAGCTACTTGTGCCCTCCATTCTCAAACCTGGCCTTAGTCATTTACATTTGTAGAGGTGTGTGAGTCTGGATATATGGGTGTGTGAAGGAGTGAATATGAATGAGTAATTCATGTAAACACAATCTTAAAACCTGATTTATTTTTATATAGATAAGAGAAAGTCCCTAATAGAAAGTGATTTGCTAGTTTGCTATGTCATAATTAAATGTGATAAGTGTCTTGGTCTAAAGTTATCATTAGTTCCAGATCATTGTTCGTTTTATTGTCCGCTCTCTCCTAACACAACACTTTAAACGATTTAAAGTCGAGCATTGTGGAAACGTCATTACAGTCAGTGTCGTACCTGTTGTAGTTAGCCCTTTGAATGACCTTTGTTTGGAGAAACAGAGTTTAATTCTGCCTGGACTGACAAACCGACAACTGATCTGAGTGAAGCCATGGCCAGATTGCACTGCTACTATCTTCAAACAACTCCAATCACAACAAATATTTGCAAATGGTATTTTATAAAGACCTTCAAATAGCAGTCAGTTTTGCAATTATTTAAAATTTTATGATTATTTGCAAGTGCAAATAGTGGTAGCAGCAGCTAGCTGTGACACTTTCCACTGGAATATCGTAAATAGTTCAGCCAGATTAACTATGTAATTCATCTGACAGCTGTGTAAAGGTTTAAGTGTTCACATGAACTGCTGACAAATTTTTGAGACAAGTGTTGCCTTTTTTTAGATGACAAAAATCCTTTTTGATCTTAGCCTAACTCAAGACTAGCCATTGCATCATCAGTCTGATCTCCATTTAACGCTAGTAGTCCAAACTGATGTTATTCAAAGAGCTGTCAATAACAGGTAAAAAATATTAATTGTTAATAACTTTTCCACAGGAAATCATTTTTAAAAGATCGGAACTCTTGTTTTTAACATATATCATGCTTTTCAATAGACTAAAAATTAATGAATGAATGGATGAATACTTTGGCATTTCTTTCACTGAACAATGTATTAGCATCTCTATGTTTTTATGATAAAGGTGGACATGAGTTTCCTCTTGATTTTTCTACAAAATGCACATGAATGCATGCTGCCACCCAGTAAACGTAAAAACACACAATGTGTTTTGTCTGCTTGCATATACAGTTTTTTCGGACTATAAGGCGCATTAAGCGAAACAAGTTCATTTTGACAGGTTTTTGAGCGCCATGTATCACATAAATCGGTTTGAGGTCAGTAAGCATAACCAGAATTAATACATAAGTTGCACCAGATTATAAGGCTCACTGTCGATTGTTGAGAAAATTAAAGGATTTTAAGTGCGCCTTATAGTCCAAAAAATACAGCAAGTAAAGAAATGCCTATTGTAGGAATGTCCTCCAAAGGTTTTGTAACTTGCTAACATGATGTGTTAGTGGAAAATCTTTAACATGCATTGGTCATGAACTGCCTAACAGAAACGAAGTCAGAGTGAACTTTGTTATTTAAATTAACAGAAGATCAGTTAACAAAATAAAAAGTAAATATTTTTTATTGTTTTCTAAAATGTTTCTAAAATAATTCATATTCATAGCACTTAATATCTTCTTGGCTGATTTTAGCACTAATTAATTGCAGAATAATCAAACTCGTTTATGGGCACAACAAACCTGTTCAACAACGCTACTGGTGTGGCTGACAATCTAGTTTCCACGGTGACAGGAGACATCCATTATGGCTTGAAACAGCTAAGCGAGGATTTTATTGATCATAGTGTTGAAAGTCTGCATGTAACATATGCTCATACACAGACTTACTTTCAGAGTCATGCATCTTTACAAAGGCAGGTATCCACAGTGGTTGCATGTTCAACTTATTTCTAACTGCGTGCATGCATGAACAGTGTGTAAAATCAAGTTTTCAATTTCAGGACCTTCTATGTTTGAAATGTCTACAGTATACCATACATAGCATAATTTAGCCTTTTCACTCTTACCATAAAATCAGAAAATCATTTTATGGCCTGTTTACACCCCCACACACTTTACAAACAATCACAAGTAGATTCTTATGAAATAATTGAGTTTTAAACAGAAAAATCACCAAAAACGCAATCTTTAAAGTGCAAAGCCCATCGTAATGTGTCATTACGTTTATAAAAGCCAACACAGGATTGGAGTCTTCAACAGTGGTGTGGTGGTGCAAAAACTACAAAAATACACAGATGTGATGTAAGAAATTCATATGAGTCATGGATGAATGAATGAAACTATGAACAAAATTGCCTTTAATGTCATTCCACACAGCAGAATAAAATTAGGTTACTGACCTTTACTAGAAAGAATTAAGAAAGATAAGTCAAAAAGATAATGAAAGCATGCATTAAATGCTAAACTTCATGCCATATATTTCAAGCACATAAAAAATATATGATTAATAATAACATATCAAACTATTTTAGAAAATCAACAATGATAGTATATTTGTCAAAGGATAGCAAATGTAAAACCACTTTACAACAATTTATCACACAACAAACATAAAACTTTTATTTTTTTTTGCACATTTGTTATGTCAACTACGATACTAAACACCTTATTAGGAAATATATTTAAAAAAGAGGTTTGATCCCACGGTGAACCAGTATGCAATAAAGTTCTAATTACTTACAAGATAAAAATGAATATTTTATTTAATATATTTATTTTAAAAAAATAGAATATTGTCATTTACTGACCCAAATACGCTGCTGTTATGAATATAGTTTTGTTTTATTCGAAAGTCAAATTAAATTCCAAAGTCATCAGATGATGATTGACGTTGTTTATTTATTTATTTTTTAGTTCTCGTTAGAATGTAATCACAAATCCTGATTTGAGTTCCTGTTTTAATCACAGACTTGGACCGTTTCATATTGCTCTCCCATAGTGAGAGGAGCTGAGGTGTGAAAGGAATAGCAATGATTGTGAGAGGCAGAGTGAGTCGTGAGAGTGTGTGTGTGTGTGTGTGTGTTACTGCTGGAAAGCATTAAAGCAGTGAGGCTGCAGCTTAATGGAAAACAATGAACTCTTTTCATTTGGGACGCATGTATGTTGATGTTCTTGTTTTCGTTATTTTCCCTAATATTTCTGCAACCCTGAGCGCAGCAAAAGCTGTTAAAAATATAAAAATTAGATACGTCTCCACTAACCTATTTCAGATGAATTATTTGAAGCTGATAACTTATTGTTTTCTGGTTAAAGTCTCATTATATGATCAGGAAAATCAATGCAAAATCTGAAAAAAAAAAAAACTAATATCATTATAACAAACTAAATTAACATAAAATATGAAGTTTTTACATTTCTCAAAGCCTTCAGACTAATGAGGCAGCAAATACATGAAGCTACAGAGACAGAAAAAACAACGTAAAGGAAAGAAATGTGGAGGAATGCATAACACTCGCTGCATTGAAGCCAAAGTTTACGACAACGATCCCAACGATTTGTTAGTGCTTGGAGTGTGTGTTGTCGATGAGTCTTAACTACCACAGCACCATCTTTTAGCTCAATATCTATAAAAAAAAAAATCCAATTTTTGTGGCGACTGTTGTTGATTAGCCGTGGCAGACATCTTAAAGTTTGCTGACTTCAAAAGTTAATCACTTGTACATTTACATTCAGTGATTATTACTTCCTGATGTTTCATTGATATCTGTTCACTGGCTAATGAGATATTTTGCTGACTGACACACACACTGGCACAGTTACACAATTCCTTACCTGTCATGGTGGCGGGTGATCACTGAGAAAATTATTATGGACTAAAAGAAACATTCAGGGTTAAACGAGTAAATTTTTTAAATGAAAAGTGATCCAGTTGCACAACAGTTTCAGGGAAATGTTGCACAGATGTTGGTGATTTGTTTACATTCATATAGGATCAAGCCCGGTGTGGAGAAACACAAGTTCAGTTCATCGAGGAAAACATCTTTCTACCTGCCTGTTATTCACAACCATCAGTTTGTTTCACATCAACATGAATAGGTTTTTTTTTTTGTTTATAAGAGTCAAGGCCAATGAATTCAACATATTCACCAGGTTTCAAACCAAAAGGCTCTTAGAGAAATCACATTTTTTTAACATGAATTAAGAGCAAACACATCCCAGTCTGACTTATCCTTCAGAGTGATTGAAAAAAAACTGAAAGAACCTGATAGTTGAGTTTATTTTCCTCCGCCTTTGGTGTTCGGATGAAGGGCATTCAGCTCACAGCCCCGCGTGAAGCTTTATGTGATATTCTGTCCTGTCGTTTCGGTTCTCTACAACACACTATAGTCAGGGACCCTTTTCACTGAAATATCTCTCTACAAAGATGACAATCAATATTTCATGAATAGGCAGCAAGCACTACCGTAGAAAACTGAGATTTATTGTGTGGATGTCTTACGCAAACCCACACCCGTGCACATACACACTCTCACACGCCTGGAAACTGAAATCCCGACACTAATACTGATCCTCTGAAGCTTTTAGACGAGACAAGAAAACATTCATGTTTGATACTTCGACTGTGATACTGTGACACGATATACCGCCACAAGTCGTCCTACGTTTTCATTAGTTCAAACTTATTTTCTTTTTCATTTTTTAAGACATTATAATCTGCTTTATTTTCCTGTAAGACATTTAAAATGATGAACACTAACTCTACAGGGCCTTTTAATTCACTAAGGTCTCAGTGGAAAGAGTTTAAGTTGAATTAAAAGACCGATCGATCCGTTTTTAGTTTATTTTTATTTATTAAAAAAATACAACTATGA